CCCCCCAACCCCTCACACTGTGGGGTGAGCTGAGCTCTCCCACCCCACCTAAATGAACCTCAAAGAGGCACAAAGACAATTTCTCTCTCCTCCTCCCCACAAAGTGTTCGTCAGGGGTTGCTCTTCAAGAAAGGGAAGGCAGTGGCCATGGTTTTCCCAATCGTTCCTCTTTTTTGGAAGGCGGGGAACACCCCACCCTGGGGGAATGGAAGGAAAGTTTCCTGGAAATAAAAGTCTTATCTGCCAAAACAATACCTCTGTCCGGTTCCTGGCTCATCACCCATCATCACTGAAAGGATTTAAAATCAGAGTGTCTGTCAACAGGTTGGGACTGCTGAAATTTCTGCAGGTACTGATGCTGAAGCCACAGCCACCGTGAGGAATCAGGTTGAAAAGTGTGAGGCTGGTTCCTGCCCCTGAACCCTGGAGAAAGTGCAAAAAGGATGAGAGAAAGCAATAATTAGTTTTTAATCTGTTCTGAGTAAAATTCACAGATGAATAAATTCACAGTGCTCAGGAATTGCCCTTTCAAGCTGATAACCCCACCTGAAATAGGCCAGATTGCCCACAAAATAACCCTGGCACCCACTTAAAGCAGAAGTCAGTCTGGAAGTGAACCCCAAACCTTGCATGACCAAGCTCTTCTAAAAACAGTCCTTGTCAAAGCCGGCGGGGACAGGTTACCAGCAGCTGGTCCCATCCTCCACGGATCCTGCAGCTGCTCTGCCAAGTCACGAGGCATTCCCTGGGCAGCCCAAATGCTCCTTGGCACAGCGACTCGTGCAAAGCAAACCTAGAAATTTCCCTGTCAAATCCCAGAGCAGGATAGAAACTGGGAGTTTAGTGTAGAAAAAAAAAACCCACCCCAAAAATTCAGACAACCTTGGAAAACATCAAGTGTTTGGGAAGACAACCTTCCAAATGCTAAATGGGGAGAATCCCCCAAGAGTAATACCAAAAAACAATGGGTGCTCAGTAGACCTCAGCCCATCACAAGAAGATGGATGGAGAGAGGATGAAGCAGAGAAAAATCCTGCTGCATGTCTGCGGGGCTCAACCACTGGGTCAGCAAAGCCCAGATGAAACCTCCTGGTGTGGCTGGGAGCCTCACATCAGCCTCTTCCACAGCACAGGACAGGGAGGAAAAGCTGGAAGAGGCTGCAATTCCCATTACCAGACAGGTGGGAGCAGACAACCCGCAGGGAATCACCCTGTGAAAACACAGTGGTAAGGAAAACCAAGTGTGAATTAATTAAAAACTTGTTGTTGCTGGGCCTGCAGCTCCTCAGGGGTCCTGTGTGCTGAGGGGACAAGATGAACCTTGTCCACAAACAGCTCAATCTGTATCACCTTAACTGCCTTATCTACCATTGCTCTGACCCTGGAAATTTTACAACAGAAGCAGCATGATATCATCGGAGAAAAAAGGAGTGTGTACCAAGCAGTGCCTCCAGAACCTTCCTTATAAAAGGCACTTGGTAAAATCATTTGGACCGGGAATACCTGCTGAGGAAGAAAAGCACAATAAACTGAAAAAAAAAAAGAGATTTTTTTCTGAAGAAATGCTCTAACCGGGCAAAAAGGTAAAGCAAGCTTTGTCAGAGTTTCTAAGCTATTCAAAATTCTACAAATTTAAAATTCATACCCTATCCTGCCATTGAATTAATTTCATGTCTAAGCAAATCTCAAGTTAAATTCAACAACTGGTGTATCCAGTGTGCTTTAGAAGATACACTGGGAGACAGCAAGGCTGGAAGGGAAAAAATCCTCTCAGATCTTGTTTAGCAGAAGCTGGGGATTAGCAAAGCAGTAATGAGAAACCGAGTACACAAAGATCAAACATCTCTGTTCCTCAAAAGGGATTCAGAGAAATACCTAAGGGTGTTCGGTACTTCTTGGTGTGCAGGAAACTGTCTCCTGAAAGTGGTTCAAGCAACAGGAATTTTCTCAAGTCAGACACACATGGAACACATCATCACCAGCTCCTGTCAGACCCTTCAACCCATACATGGGGCTGCCCCACATTTGCTAAAGAAATGGTTCCAAATTCCACATCCCACTATAAACCAGTCAGAATTTCTCACAGGCCACCCCCAATGCTTACCATCAAGCTTTTAATTAAACACACATTAATGGCAACAGGCCACCCCACAACCTTGCAGTTTACACTTTGGAAATCACCACTTCATGCCCAACAGGAGTAACGCCCACGTCTTTCCAGCTCTGGAGTTGGCTAAACATTTATTTTTCAGTCTCTGTAACTCAGATGGTAATCTGAGAGTCCCTGCAATTTAGTGTAATCTAAATGGGATCATCACATCTTCATCAAGTAACATAATAAAAACGTTCGAGTCATTTTTGTAATTGCTAGGAAACATTGCATACTGAAAGGCAGAATACTTCACAATCTCAGTTGCAGATTTTGATGTCATTTTTAAGAATTACAGAATCCCAGTGAGCTTTGATATCATCTGCCTTGGATTTCTTGCCTTTAGCACATAAAGATAAAAGCAGAATTTACCTTACTACACGGAGTCCTTGTCTTTCATCTTGTGTTACACTAAATGGTAATTAATCAGGGCTTTTCCTGTAGCCATTCATGAGAAACAAAATCCCACACTCTGTTTAACTTGGATTCCAAAACACAAACCCTATAAAATCCAGGTGACCAGCTGTTTTGTTGCTCCTCATAAAAGTCTCCTCTATGCTTCAGATGCTGCAATAGTGGCCGGGAGCTGAAAATGAACATTAAGATGAATAAGTGACACACAGAAAAAAAAGCGCAGAGAGATTAACAGCTCAGCAGAACATTGGCTGAGATTCTCACAAACAACCCCAAAAGGCTGGCTCACACATCAAGGGAACGTGGCCCAAAGCCTCACGTCAAACTCTCTCCTACAGGGAGATGCATGAGCTATTTTAAGCTCTGCAGCACCAGTAAACAGGCTTCAGTGGGTAATCTTTGCTGGCTTCTCTGCTCCCAAACTGTTCTCTGCGTAAGGGCCCAAGGGTCTGTATGGACACAGCTCTCCTAGAAACTAGGGGATGACACTGATAATGGCTCAGACTCATCATTACAGACTTTCTTTCCACCAAGGCAGGTCCAAAAAGAGGAGAATAAAGAACATACAGGGTAGCACTGTTGCAGCACAGTAACAGAACAATCTAGAAAGCCTTTAACAGCAGAACATAAAGAAAACCTTCTTTACATCACCTCTGAAATGTCACTCTGTTGAGCAGGCACTTGTCAAGAAGAGGAGCATCATCTGAGTGTTCAGTACTGCTGACCAGCTACATCAGAAGCAAAAAAGCACTCTGCTCTCTTCCACCTCTCCACGGCCTCTGAAACACTACCAGCACACGCGGGGAACATTAATTTCCTTAAATTCAGAGTAACTGTAGGTTAGGACACTGTTAACAGCCCATCAGCACAGTCAGATGCACAGCAGGAGGCAAAAATTCACAGCAGATGAGAACACAAGGCTTCAGGAGTCCTCTAGTTCCACTTGTTCAGAAATACGCTAAATCCAGTCACCATTCCCCTTGTATTCACAGAGCATTTACCATTGCAGTTGAGAAAAACACCACAGACTAACAAAGATATCATAATTATGGACACAAACAAAGGCGTAGTAGAAGTAGGCTTTATGAAAGTATTTAAATTTTGTGGCAAATCTCTGCATCAACACGGGCAGGGAGGCAACTAAATGCTTTGCAGTAGCCATTTCAGTTACCAAACTATTTCTTGGAGAGACATTTATTACAGGTAGTTTCTCTGTTCCTATTTCTCAAAGAGTTTAAGGCACAAAAGCCTGAAAAGGGCTTAAAACATGTACATAAGTGCTATTATTTTCACTGTCACCACTAACGCAACATAATATTAGCTTAAATATATTGCTTGTCCATCCAGCTTATACAATATCCAGTAGAAAACTCGCTTTCCAGGTTACCAACAATTTGTTGCACAATATTATTGAAAAGATTGCTCTGACCCGTTTCCGCTGCAACATCTTCAGTTTCACCATATTCACTCTGACAGGACAGTGGAAGACGCTACGAAAACATCTTAATGAGACCATCGAGGTGTGTTCATAATGTAAAAAAAAAAAAGGCATGATACACAAAATAACATTTAGACAAGGTTGCTGGTAAAAGTGTTTTCAAATGCTTGACTGATGGGGAATTATTTCCTCAGACACAGGTGGAGAGGCAAGCCAAAGGTGTGAGCAACCACCAGGTAGAAGACATTGATCGGTCTGTTGTAGTTTTTTAACACTCCTCTCTGTCTTTACTCCCCAAAATACTCTTTAGGTAGATTGCTTAAGAACACCGAGCTATAAACTTGCTAGCTCAAGATCACAGCTTAGGTTAAGCAGAACATAAGCTTCCATCTACATGGTTCTTTCCCATACTCAAGTTACAGCAACCTTACCCAGTCACTAGAAAGCTTTTGAGACATTTTAGTGGCATCCAACAATGATTTTTTTAAAAGAACACATTTATGAGAGTTGGATCAAATGATTGAAGACAGTTAAATGGGCAGCAAAACAAAAAGATGGGCAGGAACCAAAATGCAAAGGGTAATTTTACTTAAAAGACCAACTTTTTTATTGTATGTTGGAGTAGAGTCTTTCCCCTGTGCCATCTCGTTGAAAGTTTATAAATTACAATTCCCAAGAAGTATTAAGAGTTCATTTCAAGACAAAAGGAATAAAACTGTTGCAGTTCTAACTTTCAACACGAATCAAAGTTACCATGATGCTCCTACGATACTCATTCTGTACAGGAAAGGTCACAGTCCTCCTGTACTTCGAGTAACAGACCTGGGTGGAGAAAAAGGGGCCACCCCTCAGTACTGCAGGATCCAGGTGCAGCGTAACAGTCCGGAGCGCACTGGCAGGCTGGTCACACAGACACAGTGCCTCAGCAACGAGGCTATAACACGGCTGGAATCTCTGACGAGACAGTGTCCAAAGGTTGCCAATGACAGTCCATCAAGGCATCGTAGAGCTCTTCACTCTGTTCCATAAACTGTTTATTTGCTTCATGGACGTCTAACTGAGGCGTTGGATCTAAAGGAGGAAAGACAAATAAGTCACGCGTCAAATGGGTTAGGAAAAAACCTACAGCCCGTAAACATCTTAGTTTTATTACAACGAATGTGAGGGGAGTCACAAAACATTCCCAGTGCTTGCCCAATCATGACTCTGACTCAATTAGCCCTAGGAAATCTTTCTGCAACGGGATAATAAATAACTACAGCCAAATACACCCCTCTTTCACAGAATCATAGTGGTTGGAAAAGACCTTTAAGATCATCGAGTCTAACCATAAACCCAACACTGCCAATTCCACCTCTAAACCATGTGCCTCAGCACCTTGTCTACCCATCTTTTAAATCCCACCAGGGAAGGTGACTCCACCACCTCTCTGGGCAGCCTGTTTCAATACTTGACTGCCCTTTGGGTGAAGAAGTTTTTCCTCATATCCAATCTAAATCTCTTAATATCCAATCTTTCCAGTGGTGATTGCCCCCATAGCAGAGTCAACAGAGAGAACGCATACCTGCACCTCGCAGCCCAGTGTAGCCACTTAAACTGCCAAAGAAGGTTGGGTTGGCACTAAGGCACCGGACTGCAAAGTGGAGGAGCGGAGGCGCAGGCACCCGTTCCGTTCTGCTCCCTCCACTACAGGGTCAGAGTGGATGGCTGGGGACGGTAGCATCTTAACGCTGCTGCAACAAGAGTCACCAGAGCTCGTCTGCCAAAGCCTCAAACATCTCAAAGCATTTCACAATTAGTAACCAAAGAAGTGCCAGTGACACCCAGTGAATTACATACGAATATGTCCCCTATTTTACAGTTGTTTGTAAAGCATTTTGGAGCTGGATAGCAACCCAGTGGGTACAATCCTGCTGCTGCCCATGCACACTTAACAGTTTGCAATAATTGACTCATCGTATTCCCCAAACCACTTGTAGGATGTGAAGCTCACCTAACAACACCCACAATCTAAAGCTCAGGTTATCGGAGTAGCATAACCACAAAGGTTTGTAAGCGACTCTCAAGAGAGCAAAGCTCTCTGGAGAAACTACAAAACACATCAGAAATAAAATGCTCGTAGACATGGTCGGTTTTAGCTACATTACAGGAGAGCAGAATTCAGAAAAAGGCAATACATTATTTCAGTTTCTTCCAAATTTCAACATATTAATTTAATCAATGAGAAAAAGACACCCCAGAGATATTCTAACTATAGCACTGGTGTGCTAGTTTCAGCACGGCAGAGAGAGGAAAGCTCTCCTGTAATGCTTTTAAAATCCATTAAGGGCTTTCTCATTGACATCATTACTGATACCTATAGATCCTGTAAAGGATCCAGCTGCTTCCTACTGTTACCATGTGATTTTAATTTTTATTGTTTTTTAAAGAGAAGATACACTACATTGTGCAAATTCCACTCAAGACAGAAATTTGGAACTGCTAATATAAAATTATTTTTTCTTGCCTCAATAAATGAAAACTGCATGTACATAACATCTAAAACCCCAGCGTAGTTTAGTGACCCATTTCAAGCAAAGACTGCTAAAGTCAGTATTTTATCAGTGTGCTCACTAATATTATCTCTTTTTAAACTAAAAACTCAGTGAGGTCTCCTGGGCTGTAAATCCCAAGATTTTATAGAAGAACAGAATATCTAGATTGTTTTTGCAGCATACCAGAAAAAAAAATACAAACAAAAAAAAAGGATAAAAGTTTGAGTACAACAGAAGATTAAAATCTCAATGCTAGTGAAGTCAATTAGTTTCAGTTCTGACAAGGTTCAGACTAGGAACAGCAACTGTAAAATAAGGATGCAATTGTGCTAGGTGATAGTGACCCACAAATTTTATCAGACCTCAGATTTACTCAAAGAGAAAAGTATATTCTGTATGGAAATTAAGGGCCACTTGGAGAAAGGCTATCTCTAACCAGTGCAGAACAGACAGACAACTTCAACATAGAACTTAAGAAACATACCTTCCAATGCATCCTCACCAACTTCTTCATATGTCTGCAAGAAAAAAAAAAACACCTTAGGACAGCAGATATTTATCTTGTCTTTTACATACACCACCTGTTGATTACTCCTGTCATACACTGACTTTTATATCTGACTTATTACAAGAGAATTCTACACACATAAGCCCTGTGTTCCACTCCCAATAGATTCCACAGGGGAGATCCCACACTAAATTTCTAACAGAGGAAGCAGTTCTTGAAATTCCTGTGGTGCAGCGGGTGGCTGTCCTGATCTGTTTTATCCTCTAAAACAAGGTTTTGTTGGTCTCTTCTCCCAAGGAACAAGGGACAGGACAAGAGGAAATGGCCTCAAGTTGTGCCCAGGGCAGTTGAGATGGGATGTGAGGAAGAATTTCTTTGCTGAAAGGGTTCTGAGGCATTGGAAGGGGTTGCCCAGGGCAGTGGTGGAGTCCCCATCCCTGGAGGGATTGAAGAGTCGTGTAGACACAGTGCTGAGGGACATGGGTTAGTCGGGGACTTGTCAGTGTTGGGTTCATGGTTGGACTCGATGAGCTTAAAGGTCTTTTCCAATCGAGGTGATTCTGGGATCCCAGAAGGCAGCCTTAGCTCTGTCTGTCCAACTGCCCATATCAAGAGAACCCTTCTACCATGACAACTGTATTAAGAGACCCTTTGTGCCCTCCAGACCTTTTTACCCCTCCTGTCCCAGCAACACCCTCCACACAGGCAACAGTACACACCACAGTCTGCTAAACAGTTTTGCTTCCTCATCAAGTAGCTACATTAAGGCCCCCAGATTTGAATATAAAATGTGCTCATCACCATTTTGTAAGCTACCTCATGTTTTCGTGCTGACAGGAGACTGAAGAGTGAGTAAGTTGTGCTGTCCTACCTGCATTGTGCTCTGCGTGTATCCATACTGGGGATAGCTGTAGCTGTAACTGCCCGTGTTCTGGTCGTAGCCCCACTGGGCGTAGTAGTTGTGATATTGTTGGTAATATTGGTTATAATTATAGTTGTACATCTGATTGTACTCCATCGATTTCACACGATTACTTAAAAAAAAAAAAAGCAGGAATAAGTTGCAAATAATACAGAACAATTAGGGAAAAAAGCAGTGAAATAGCTTAGAACACAACAGACATAGACAAGGCTTAGTCCAACGTGCAAATTTCAGTCTTTAAAATATATTCACTATTTACTGCAGCAGTATTTACCATTTACACACATTTGCAGAAAGAAAGAGGTGGTTTAAATTTAATGCCCTTTCCTGTACTCATATTCATCTTCATTAATAAAAATTGCTTTAATTCTTTATGAGTTAATTTAGTATCACTTCCTGGCTTTGGGAAGGGAAGAGTTCAGGATTATGAGCCTCAATTTAGAATAATCCTGAACCATGACACAGATTCTTGGGTCCCTGTTTCCTTTTGATAAATAGGATGAAGTTAAGTACTCTACAGCTTCCTGAGACAAGGTAGTGAGTCTTGCTTTACATGAAGAGTTAAAGACTTAGAGCCTTGCAAAAGAACTGTCTTTTCTTTATCAAGAATGGACAAAAACCTCTCTTTTCTGCCAGTGTCATACAGAAGCCTAAGCCAACGACTCATTGTCCCTGTTCCCACTGAACTGGGTGGTCTTCAGTGTGCTTATTTGGAAGAGCTCATGGAGTAAAAAGGGCTACAAGTAATTAAAAACATAAACTTAAACAGCCTGTGAGGTAACTAAAATTCCCCTTCCCAAGGAACTGGGAATCCCGCTTGATTAAGATTTGAAATAATGAAATGACAAATATTGTTTGAAAATGAAAATGTCACACAGAAAGCTGTGTCTAATGATGGAATTAGTGAGAAGTAGGAAGAGAGAAACATCAATCTTCTCACCACGATACGCCCCCTTTTTCTGCTTTTCTCTTCTTTATCCCCCCAAGACTTGAGGTCACTGAAAATCTAAATATTATTCAAATAGGGAGCAATGACTATTATTCATATTACCCTAGTGCTACGAGCCCCAAGTCAGACCAGGATCTCATTGTATCAGGTTCTGAACAAACACAGAAAAAAAAGTTAATCCCTGCCCCAAAAGACTTGGATTTAGTAGACATTATAATAGAATCAGCAAGGTAACTGAGCTTTGCTCTCCAGAAATCAATAAGCAGATCTAGACTATTTCAATTTAATGCAAATGAACATATACTTTACAAATAATCATATTTAAATACAGTGTGTGCACATGTGTGTATTTAATAATGTAAACAATTAAAAACAATTTAAAATGCTTAGTCTTGATCTAATCTTATAATTTTTTGAATTCCTGTGCATTCTGATACTCTACCTAATTCACTATTTGTGGGTATTCCTTCATTTTATGATGGAAACATCCAGGAAATGCAAATGTTAAAATATGTTAAAATACACATGATTTCACATCACACTGTTCTTATATAAAAGTCTGGCTGCTCTTATACTCACGCTTTTGGTATAGCCACGCTCAAGCGTACAGGTTTAGAACCCAACCCCACAGCTCCTTGACACTCTGTCAGCGCTCTTTTCTGTTCCAGTTCATCCGTGAATTTCACGAACCCGTAACCTCTGCAGAGATACAGAATCATAGAATGGTTAGGATTGGAAGGGACCTTAAAGATCATCTAGTTCCAACCCCCCTGCCATCTGCAGGGACACCTTCCACTAGACCAGGTTGCTCAAAGCCTCATCCAGCCTGGCCGAGAACACTTCCAGGGAGGGGGCATCCACAACTTCCTTGGGCAACCTGTTCCAGTGTCTGACCACCCTCACAGTGAAAAACTTCTTCCTAATATCTAATCTAAACCTCCCCTCTTTCAGTTTAAACCCATTTCCCCTTGTTTTGTCATTAGTTGTCCTTAGGAAAAGTCCTTCCCCAGCTTTCTTGTAGGCCCCCTTCAGGTATTGGAAGGCTGCTATAAGATCTCCCCGGAGACTTCTCTTCTCCAGGCTGAACAGCCCCAACACTTTCAGCATAAATTCAGAATAATAAATTTCAGAATAATTTGTATAAAACAAAACCAAAAATGCCATGCTGCTTTTTAAATATATTTACAGTGAAGTCAAAATTGGTTTTGAAAAACACCACAAATGAAACACTTTTGCTAGGGCTGGTCCTGCTTTTAGTAGAGGTTAAATGATTCCAGTTGCTTTGTTTTATTTGCAAAATGCTTGAAATGGTACGTCTAAGCTTTGGCAGCATGTTCAAGGGCTTGACAAAAGTAAAGCAGTTCTTGTGCCAGTGGATTCTGAGGAATCAGAAGTGAGCTGAGACTCTTCTCAAGATGTGTTGAAATGCATGAACAGACAGTATAGCAAAGCCTCAAATCTGTACTGGGAGGATACTGATAACTGAACCAGTTGCAAGTCAGCACAGGATTGACAAGATATAGGCACTGCTTATATCTCAAACTGCCCCACTGTGAAGGAAGACATTGTTTTTCTGTAGGATCAACTGAGAGACGCTTAATATGCTTAAAAAAAAAAAGAAATCTCTTTTTTTTTTAAACAGGAAAATATTCCAATAGCTTTCTGCCATTCCTCACAACAGCTCGGCCCCCTCAGCTTTCTCAATAGTGAACCCAAAAATGAGCTCTTCACGTCCAGTTGCTAAAACCTGCTCTGAGAGCACAATGTGAAGAGGGTTAGCACAGTGCCAGCAACCTCTCTGCTCTGTGGCAATCCCTCACCGCGGTGCGAGCAGAACTGTACATCAACCAGACAGAAAATACTCATTCCCCTCCAACCCCAAAGGTCCTTTGCATGGGATTCTGATGCTGTAGTGAGTCAGAAGCAATGCAACAGCATTCAAGAGGGCAGTGCCAGGATCCCAAGATGGGATGGGCTGCCTCACGCAGCAGAAAGATCAAAGACTTAGGTGTGGGAGGGGAAGAGGAATCCATCTAGGCAAAGGAAGGAGCTTGGGAGGGAAAGTGCTTGTCTACCTGGGGAAAAGAACGAGCCGTAAGCAAGGTGTAAACTTACAGCATGTTATCTGTTCTGTGGGAACTCTTCAACATGTTGTTTTGAAAGCGGCATCACCTAATACTTGTAGTAGGTCCACACTGGAAGCTATTACAGAGTAATTGGTGCCCCATAAAATGCACTGTCTTGCATAGCAAGCTCTACACACAAGTTCAAATCTGTATTTTAATACATATACGTATGTATGTATGTGTACTCTTCACATACAGAAGACCAAATCAAAGCTCAGGCTTATCTATACACAAACTGGATAATTAAGCAAGAGCAAAACTCCACATGTGTACACATTCTGTTTAACTTGCCCTCCACAAAAGGACTGTGGCAAATTAAACCAGGACAAGTCAACTTTTAAGTCAGTTTTAGGTGTTTGCACACAAAAGTGTTTAAGTTTCGAAGCTGCTACAAAGAGTCCTGCAGCTTTTTGGATGGGAGCAGGAGTGTGTAAGTGAAATTGGGAGTACTGGCAGTTCCAAAATAGAGACAGACAGATAAAGAGTTGGATGGAGTGTATAGGAATAGATGTTGAGCACAGCAAGGGAGACTGATTCTTCCAACTTTTCCAGACACTTAGTTTTTACACACTGATGGCTAAACCAGATTTTAGCACAGAAGAAAGCCCACCAAGAAATAATTTATTTGTGGCCAGGACCACCCTGGCAGACATTCTGTCCTGTCTCAGCAGTTAGGACAAGCCCCCAAGCCTGCACCCTCAGCAGAAAGCAAAGAAGCAGGCACAGCACTATGGCATCAGGCTCCAAGCTCCTCTCTTGCCTGGACAGGAGGTACTGGGAGGAGGCTTTCCTGATCTACCAGCCCCGGCTGGAAGGACCAGAGCTTCACCAGGCACGTCCACAAGCCCCAAGTTCTTCTCTCACATCACACTAACACCTGCAGTTGCTTCAGCTTTGAGTAACTGCACAAGTCACAACAAAGCCCCGGCAGCAACACCCCGGCACTGCTAGGGGAGAGAGCTGGGCTCTTCCCAGCAACAGGCCTTGAAGTCCTTGCTCCATCCCCGCTTCCCAACCTACCACAAATTCCCTTTTCCTGAGGTCTGCACTTCGGAACAGTTCCCAAAACCCAACTAATGGCCCAACCTGTATCACCCAACACCTATTTTGTAGGCAGAGATTGAAGCAGGTATAGAAAAAGAGGAACTGCTGGGTTTACACCTCTGAGGAGGAGGAGGTGGCACCTGGAGCCCACCCCAGCAGTGTCGCTCTCAGGTGAGGTGGCAGTAACAGCATGAGTACTTCACAGCCAGAGAGTGACATGAAGAACTTCATTTCTAGGGAAGCAGTACAGCACTGGAACAGGCTGCCCAGACAGGTTGTATTATCTCCATCCTGGGAGGTTTTCCAGGTGACACAATTCACGGCTGACCTGGTCTAGCACTGGCAGCAGTCCTGCTCAGAGTGGGAAGTTGGACCAGAAACCTGTAGAGGTTCCTTCAAACCAACATGTCTAAGACTGAGAAACCTTATGTGAGAAAGAGGTGAGATCTACAGCCGTATTCGAAGCCTTGTCACAATATTCTCATGGGAATTCTATCAGAATATTGTGTTTCATTGAAGCCATGTTCTGGTTTTTGCTGATCAACTGGTCCCTTTTCTAGGAAAATACAGTTTCATTTCCTGCTCTTTAGAAAATGTTTTAATAATTACAATTAATAACAATTTAATAAATGTTTTAATGTTTTAATTTTAAGAAAATTGACTTTTTCACATCTGTTCTTGGTGAGACATTTCCAGTAAAGATTACCAAGGCGGCTACTAAGTCCTTGATGACAATGAATCATAGCTTCGTTTGCCCTACCCTATTTGAAACAAAAACCTGTAAAGCTTTCACAGCAGCTTACACTCAATAGCCTGCAGACTGTAAAAGCACAATTCCATCTGAAAGTCCAAGGAGACAGTGTTTTGAGATTAGTTAGACATTTTTCAGCATTTTCAGAAGTACATAACTACTGTCAACACACAAAGGACATCACACTGACAGAGGAGCCACAATACATTGTGGTGACTACCAAAACCCAAGCATGCTGTAGACTGAATATCCAAGAACGCTGTATTTTTAAATAACTAAAATCTAAACTTGATAGAACTATTCTTTTTCCCTTGCTGCATTATATCTTTTCTGTTGTTGCATGTGAAGTGAAAGAAAAGAACGCATAAAAGATGACTTACTTGGATACTCCTGCCTGGTCCAAAACGACTTTTCCACCTCTACACGATGGATAAACTTTAACAAAAAATTCATATAACATGCCATCATCCACATCAGGAGTCAGGTCTCCCACAAAAAGTGAATATTCTGGACTAGAGAAATCAAAAGAAAACTTCTTAAGTACAATCACACAAAAAAAAAGAGGTGTGTTGAGTGACATTTATCTTAAACATTTAACTACAGAGAAAAGTGGTATTAAAGGACCATTTAATGGATACTTTAAAGTGTCACCAGTTAAGTAGCTTAGGTGATTAAAATTTTTATTGACACTGCTTTTCCAAGTGAATTCAAGCAGCACAACTAACCTATTCCATCCTGCTTTTGATTTAAAGATAATTTAATTTTCTAGTTCTCACAGGATATCTCTGGATTTCTAACATGGCAAGAAAACATTCATGTCTCATTGACAGCTTTGCTATTTCCAATATATTGATCTTAAATTATAATGTACAAATGAGATACTTTGATACTAGAAAGTTTAAATCTGTTAAAAGACACTTCTGACAAATCTGCTGTATCATACAAAAGGTAAAGGATAAAACTGACAGGCAGTCTAAGTTATCCTCCCTCTGCTAAAGACTCAGGGGGAGAGCTGCTGGAATCAGAAAGGCTGGAAACACGGAGTAAATGGAACTATAAGAATTAGTTACTGGATGTCAATCTCATTCTTAGTCCCATCTGTTGTGCTTTGATTCTAACCTAAAAAGACTTTTTGTGTTTTTTTTTTTTTAAATATCTAAAAAGGATCATAAATAATAATCTAAAATAAAAAGATACCTGTTGAGATATGACTAACATGACCCTAATAAAACCACAGGACTGCGTTGTTTTCACCCTTGTACACACCCTAATTCAGCCCGTGTGTCTCCTTACGAACCTTTCGATGGAGAAACGGGCAGCTGGGAGCACCTCTCTCTCTGTGCTGACTCTTGTGTTACTCCAGCCAGTTAAGCCAGGTGGTGTGAAACCACCACATTGATCATTATAAGTGCTAAACACATCCATGGCATTCTGATGCAGTATTCTGTAGTATTCTGATGGGATGCACCCACAGGTACATAGAAAGTGTCAACAAGCTCCAGCGTTACAAATATCTACAGCCTGTGCCAAGGCAGTTTAATGTCATCTACATTTTTAATTATGGGATTTAGTTATCTGGCACTGCTGGACAAAATGGTACAAATTTTAGTTGTATGCACCTCATGAATGCTCTCCTATCCAAATTTGTCAGCTGTACATCTTACCTGGCAACGAGGAACTTGTGAGTTTACCTATTTTGAATCCTCTTTGCAAGGCAATTAGAGGATTCAATTCAACATTAAACAGGCAAAACTGACATTTGAATATTGAGTGTTTACCTGTTATCGGGCTGTTTTCCATACGTTGCATAATTCAATTTAAATCGCTTTGCCTGAAACGAGGCAAAAATGAATCCAAACAATTAGCAAAAAAATACAATAAAGTTATTTTACACAACTTTCTCAATGCTGACAGACATTCAATGCCATCAGGCCAGCCAGTTACTGTACCAAGGATGACATTTTAATTTTACTTTAGTACAGTTATAATAATGAACATCAGCAAATAACCTGCACCGAGAGGTTTGGCCTGTCTTTATTTCAATGGTTTATAATCCCAGTGAAAGAAGTGAACGTTACATAGCATCAAATTTCTGAATCTTTGAGGAAAACAGAGGCACTAACAACAAATATTAAATGACTACTAATTTTAAGGTCTTAAAATGAAATGACAGCACAGACTGTTGGATATTTGTGATTTACTGACAGACCAGAATCTGTCACATCTGCAAATGGCATCAATCCCTGAGTCTGGAAGTATTGCTAAATACGTTGCTCTGGATGAGGTACTCATTCAGTAAGATTCAAAATTAAGGTTATTCTTAAAGAGTTACCTGTCACTGGACACAGGAGGCCTCCCTCAACTTTGTACCCGATTTTCTTTTTAAACAAGTTTCCCCAGAGCTTAGATTTGTGCCCACTGGCACATCTGGAACTTCTCACCCCTGTCCTACCAGGGTTCAGCAACTTGTGCCCAACTCAAATTTAAGTCTAGACCAAGATCTAAGGAGCACCTGATCTTCTGCCTCAAAATCCCAAGGATCTCAATCCCATGAACATTCTCACATGATGCTTAGCACACAATGACCCAGGCAGGCTCACTGCAGAGTGCGACGGTGATTGCTGTTTTCTTCTGAAACATGTCTGACCGAGGAAGAAGCAAAGGGTTGCACTCCTTTACAACAACACCAGTGTCAGAACTCTCCCAGAGAGTGGAAGACCTAAGCTGGATTCCCTTGTCAGCTTGAGGGGCTTCAAAACAACTTTTCTATCTCCCAACAGGCTTCCAAAGCGGATAAACCTCTGCGCTACACTGTGGCATAGCAAGAATTCAAAGGGAATTTGGCCAAAGAAAGCAAACCTCCTGTACCTTGTAGGATGTATTTTCTTTCCTCAAAGACAGCATAAATAATTCTTGGGAAATAGAGCAAAGACTTAACTCTAGGCTATAATCATGCTCCTAGTGTGCTTGCACATTCACTGGTGCACAGAGGTGCACAGCTCTTCCTGTGGAGCATTCACAAGCAAACACAAAATTTAGATTCTATTTTGAAGCACTTCTCATTGTTTTTTTTTGGATTTCGCTCTTCATCATAATATTTGGGGTTTAAAATAAATAAGAGACCTGAGAGTACTTCCACTCTCAGAGCTGGGGACACTAATTCTGTAAAACAAAGACAGCAACATGGCTCTCTGTTATTCCTTTAGCTGATTCAGTATTTAAAAATAAATAAAAGAGTGAGCCACACGCAGTTTTCTGTAAACAAGATAAAAACTATCTAAAGGCAAGAGAGGAGCTGGAGAGCTGCCTGCTGAGTGCACTGATTTCAGCTGCCTACAATGGATCTCTGACTGACATCTGTAATTCTCTCCATGTGTTATGTAAATCATCCCTCTACACAAACCGCGTTTTCAATTACGCTGTGGATAAAGGCGGCTATTCCCGAAACCAAACTTCAATTATTATATTACTCCTTGCAAGAGCTGCTCTCTT